TCCTTTGGAATGAGCAATCCAAGAGATCAAGGCAGATTCTCTAATGCTTTCATGACTGTGGAAGTTACGTACCTGTATTCTACCATGTTCTATTTGTCACATAGGTCAACCCTGATTCAGTGTGATAGGTGAACTCAGAAAGGCATAATTATCAGAAGATGATTGGGGGGACTATCTTGGAAGTTAGATATTATAGTCTATCTTCAGGCTCACCCACTATTTCCTCTGTAATCTGCACTCTTCTGTAAACTCTTTGAGTGATTTTTTTTTTTCAAATTTCAGAGTTTGCCCATTCAGCTTTCAAAGTCCCAATTTTTTCTTTTGAGTGGTTTCCATTTCTCTAATAGTATTACCCATCCATACACTCATTGGGATTTTCTTTTTAAACAATTATTGGAACGTATTTATAATAGCTGTTTTAAATCCTTTGTCTATGAATACCAGTCTATCTAAATCATTTTGGTGTTTGTTTCTGTTGACTGTTAGGGCTTTTGACTGTGGTTCAAATTTTTCTACCAGTTCACATATCTAGTATTTTATTTTTAAAGATTTTATTTATTTATTTATTCATCAGAGAGAGAGAGAGCGCGCGTGAGCACACAAGCAGACAGAGCGGCAGATAGAGGTGGAGAGAGAAGCAGGCTCCCTGCTGAGCAAGGAGCCTGATGCAGGACTTGATCCCAGGACCCCGGGATCATGACCTGAGCTGAAGGCAACAGCTTAACCAACTGAGCCACCCAGGGGTCCCTAGTATTTTTTTTTTTCAATTGTATACTGGTTTGTCAATGATTCCTTGCAGAGATTCTGGATTCTGTTATCTTTTTTTTTTTTTTTTTTCTCAACAAGGTATGCCTCTAATTTATTTTTCCATTTCCTCTGAAACTGAGCCCATTGCCATGCTCCCTGCTCTTGGTCCTCTTTTCCATGTACTCATTCTTCAAGCATTTTCTCATCTCCCAACTGAGGTCATTGCAATGACCAAAAAATTTCAGACTGTTGTGCTGACTCGCGGCCACAGCAGGAGGGCTGAAGCCATAGGTGAAGACTCCGCATTCAAAAGGCAGCAATCAGGATGAGGGAGCTGGGCCAGTTCTCAGTGGCGAAGGCTCCCAAGTCCTTTCTGTTATCTTTTTCTTTTTCTTTCTTTTTTTTTTTTTTAAGATTTTTAAAAATTTATCTGTTATCTTTTTCTTAAAGAGTTTTTTTTTTTTGTTATTTGTTTGTTTCTTTCTTGTAACACACAGTTAAACTTGGCGAAACTCATACTTAAAACTACATCTCTTCTGAGGTAAGGAACAGCTAAAATTTTTTCTCAGTTTTTCAACCTTCTAGTGATTGTTTTGTGCTTTCTGGGGAGATCCTTGGTGTTTCCCACACATATGCATAGTTCAGAGATTAGCTTAGTATTTGACCATAGTTTATATGTAGATAGTTGGATTCTTTCACTGTGCTCCCTCCTTTCTGTAATTTCCTCCTCAATTTCTAGCCTCTCTGCCAGCCCCAAATTCTGACACCTCAAGCTCCTAAGAGTTGTGTTACCTGTGGAGCCCTCAGAGGAAAAGCTAAATAAATGTGCATCTAATTCAGAAAATTCCTTTCTCTTGTGGGTTACATCATTTTCAGTTTTCTGATTGTGATGGATCTCTTGCACATTTAAAGAACCCTTTTTATATTTACTCCAGAGATTATAATTGTTATATACAGGAGGTTTAGTCATACCAGCTACTCTGCCATACCAGAATGGAACCTTATCCATGCATATTTGAGTGAAACAAAAAATAGGCAATTAGAAGCTTTGGATCTCTGAGCCTGTTCAATGATAGGCTTCACTGTAAGGTGTTGAAAAAAATTAGAATTTTTGTTGTTGTGAGTATCCTAATTGTCAGTATCCATAGGTCGCTTTCTTCTTGAATTATTTAGTTTTCTTAGTGAGGAATCCTTTAATTTCTTGTATGGCGGGCATATGATAGATATATGCCCATTTTTCAGCATCCTGGGAGCCTAATGGACCTGGAAATCTCACATTTTGTATGTAGAGTTTTGCAAATCCTTCTGTTTTCAATATGGTGCGACCTGTACCTTATGATGTAAAACATATTTCATTTTCTGTTTAACGTTTTCAAAGATTAAATCTCCTCTCTTTTCTAAGGGTTTAGGAAGTGTGTTTTTTTACTGTGAATGGTGGAAGAAGAAATGTAGGGACCTAAGAACGTCTTATAAAAGCTTTCAACTAATGTCTTATTTTCTGTTCCAACTTTAGAAGGATCTAGTACTCAATTCCCGAGCATTTCTGGAATTTTGTGGTAAGAATTGGATTTTTTCTCACTGGCTTCTCCCATTTTAAATCCGAGTTTCAGGTATATCCAGTCTTCAAAGTCAATTACCATTTGTCCATCTGTTCTTAGATTCTGGAATTTAGTTGATATTACTCCTCTTTCTTATTGTGGATATATGCCTTTGTTCTTCTTTTGATCATTTTAGATGGTATTTCATAAGGAGTGAAGATAAATCATACAGATTCAATCCTGTTCCACTTGTCTTAAAATAATATTTATTTTCATCTTCTATTTTTTTTTTAAAGATTTTATTTATTTATTTGTCAGAGAGAGAGAGAGAGCGAGCACAGGCAGACAGAGTGGCAGGCAGAGGCAGAGGGAGAAGCAGGCTCCCCACAGAACAAGGAGCCCAATGTGGGACTCGATCCCAGGACGCTGGGATCATGACCTGAGCCGAAGGCAGCTGCTTAACCAACTGAGCCACCCAGGCGTCCCTTCATCTTCTATTTTTAAATAAATATAAATTGATTTATTAAACCAGATACCCTCTTTTGAAGTTAATAGCACTTTTACAAAAGTCAGTTTTGAAAAGCATAGGTATCAAATGACCAAACCAGTGTTGAATTTAAATATCAATTCTGCAATCTCCTCTATACCATGAAGTAGTGTTTCTCTAGCTATCATTCCCTAAAATAGCAAAAGTAAAAAGACTTATCATCTCTTTTAATGTAATATGCTTGCTTTGGACGTATGTTGTAAAAGAATTGTTCACAAAAGACAAGTATAAACATGCAGTGCTGCCACTTCAGAACTTTCCTCAAAGAAGTGTGAATAAAAATGGCCTAGCAGCTACTCCATGCCCTTCCTCCACCAGTCCGTGCAAGCCAAGGGAAATTTAACTTCCTGAGAACTAGAATTTACTTTAGAGTTTTATTAGTTTGCCTTGCGTATGCACTTGATTTTTTAACACGAAGATTATTGAATTCATTCTCTGAAAATGTTGTGTAAGCATTTTCAGTCTTTCACCAAATAACTCAGTATTTCACTGAATTTGTATGAATCTACATATACTTGATATTTTGGGGGCCATTTGTAAATTGAATATATGCTCATTTTCATAAAATTATCTGTGAGGGATAGTTTTTATACTTATTTTTTCAATTCTAGTCAACTAAGGATCATATTTTTAGCTCTAGTAGGTTAATTTTGAGGTTTTTAGTGCTTTTTGGGGGAGTAGTTCAACATAGAATGAAAGCTCTTAAGAGTCAAAAATAAATCAATAAATTAGAGGATAATATTGGACTTTGTTTATTGATGTTATCAGGAACGGGGGCTTGTGATACGGTTTATTGCATGTTGGAGGAAAATAAAACAAAAAAATTTCTGAAAGTGACACCTGTGAAATATGGTTAAAGAAAGGGCCTAGAGTTATTTAGCCAGAAATGAGGTTGATGTAATAACTACTTTTATATATATTTATTACAGAATATGACAGAGCAATTGTCATTGCTGAAATCCAGAAAGAAAAAAGTTCAATGGTAGAAATATAAATGATATACATTTAACCAGTACCTAGAAGAATAGCCTGAAGGTTGCCAGACAGACATTGGAATGCTTGTGATGGGACACATCTCCGTGGAAGAGTGAATAGCTTTAAATGTAGCAATCTCCTCTGTCACGAATGGTGACAGGTCCCGCATTAAGGCTTCCACAGGGCCCTTCCAGACCTGTAATTCTCTGGGTCATTTCTGTTCCAGCCTTCAGAGTTTGAGAGTGAACCAGACACAGGAAACACCTGCCCTTTCAGGAGCTCCAACCGTGCTAAAGGAGGCAGTGCCAGCGGCAACACAACAGCATCTCTTCCAACTGAAGACTTCACTCAAAGGTGAGTCAGGTCAGTGAGGACCCCGTGCTTCCTTCTCCTGCAGCTATCAGCTGGGGCCGGGCACAGGAGCTCTGGAAGATCGACGACCACAGGGCACCCTCCCCAGCTGCCAATATAAGCTTTGACAGAGGGATGAACAGGGCATGGCTGATTAGCTGGTGATAGGTGGGAGGGACTCGCCACCTAGACGCGCTCCGGGGAAGGATGAGTAGCGCCAGCAACAGCCAGGTCCCTCTCTCACCCTCTGCTTGGTGGTCCAGACCCATGTGTTCCCAGAGCGCGCTGGGTGCCCGCCACTCCTGGAGCTAGCGTCCCACTGCGCGCGGTGTCTTCCAGGCTCCCGGCTCCCGCGGGAGGGCGCGTGGGATGATGCTCTGGTCCTCGTGCTTTCCCCAAGCTCCTGCATCCGGAGCCGCCCAAACCGGCACCGCCGCAGCCACAGCCTGGGAGTGAGAAAGGAAAAAAGGGAGGGGGCTGGAAAGGCTCAGTGGAGGGAGGAGGAGAGGTGGGGAGGGAGAGAGCGAAGGGGGGGGAGGGAATCTCTCTCCTTTGCAGTGCCTCCGCCTCTCCTCTCCGGCTGGCAGCGACTGGGTTCTCCCTCCACACCCTCTCCCAGTACCTCGCCCCCTTCTCCACCCACGCTCCTTCCCTCCCTCCTTTCTGACTGTGCTGGAAGGGAGCTGCAGCTTGCGTGCAGCTCAGGGCGCCTGGGGAGGCACGGGGGGTGGAGGGGGGGGGAGCAGCGGCGGCGGCGGTGGGTGTGTGCGTGTGTGAAGGACGCCACCTCTCGCTCCTGCGTTTGCAGGCGGCAGCAGGCGGCGGGGCTTCTCGCTCCGGCAGCGGTGGCGACAGCGGTGGCGGCTTCCGGAGTCCCGCCGCGAAGATGCTCAAAGTCACGGTGCCCTCGTGCTCTGCCTCGTCCTGCTCTTCGGTCACTGCCAGTGTGGCCCCAGGGGCCGGGAGCCTCATCCCGGATTACTGGATCGAAGGTTCCAACAGGGATGCTTTGAGCGATTTCTTCGAGGTGGAGTCGGAGCTGGGACGGTAAGGCAGTGGTGGGGGGGGGGGGGGGGGGGCGCCCTGGACGTGGTGGAGCGGCTTGTACTGCACGCGGGCTCGAGCTTCTGGGGAAGCCCGCTTCGCGCACCGGGAAGTCCCTTTCACAGGGACTGCTCCTGGGGGTATGCGCGAGCCAGCCTCCCTGTCCTTTGATTTCTCCCCCTGTAGTGTCTAGGAGAGAGCTAAGTGGTTTCAAGTTGGGAGTCAGGTGTCTCTCAGAGCACCCAGGCCGGTGCAGCTGTGAGCAGCAGCCCGACTCTCCCACCCTCGCTCCTTCCTTCTCGCCGGCTGCCACTTCCCTTGGGTGACAGCTCCCACCACACGTGGGCCCTGCTTTCCCGATTGGTGTCTTTGCTCAAGATTATAGCTTGCTAGAGGGTCTTGTTTGTCTAGTTATTTTTTGGGGTAGGGGCAGAGGGTGCCTCTCCAAACCATGACAGAATTATTAAATTAGATTCTTCCCCTTTCCTCTCATCAAACTCTCCAAAGCAAGTGGCACTAGAAATTAAACTTAAATACTAGCTTCCCTGTAGAGTCTGCTCAGGAGTGAAGGGGAGAATGAATCATTTAAGAGAGTTGAAGGCAAAATAATGAACTAGTGTGGCTTTAGAGAAAAAACAGCACATGGGATTTAGACAGTGGTAATTAGAAGAATTCTGCTCTTCTTTCATGCTGGAGTGATTTATTTAAATTATGTATGCAAAAAGCTATCTCTCTGGGGTTGCAGAAATGTCCCTCATCCCTCCTCTGAAGATCCAAACAGGTAGAGAGCGGTTTTGCCATGTGGATGATGCCATATGTTCTCATATTTTTAAACACAGAAAATTGTTTTTTCTTTCCCTCCTTCCATTTTCCTTCTTTCCTTTCTGTTATCAGTAGGTAAGGAGAATTCCTTTCAACATACATTTAGATCCAGGCCGTTTATGGTAGAGAATCTTAAAATGTAATTTCAAAGTGTGGACAAGTTGAAGCTTCTGTATTTAATACTTTGTAATTTCATTTTCTATTTTCTTTTTGTTGGAAACAGTTTAGCTAAGAGCCGTTTTTGTTTTTGTTTTTTTAAATGCCACTGGAGACCACAGTGCAGGATTATGGATGTTGATACTTGGTGGGAAGGTATAAGGGTCACCTCACAAACCACCTCCCCACCCCCACCCCCCCAACTTGCCGCTACTATTAATGGCTCATTGATATAGAAGGTATGGAAGAAACCCAAAACTTCTGAATGAAAATATAGTCATTTGTCATTGTTTAAAAATTTTCCAGGGGCGGCTGGGTGGCTTAGTTAAGCATCCAACTCTTGATTTCGTCTAAGGTCATGATCTCAGGGTCCTGGATTCCATGCCCTGCAATGGGTTCTGGGCTTACCAAGGAGTCTGCTTGAGATTCTCCCTCTCCCTCCCGACCCCCGCCCACTTGCTCATGCCCCCCACCAAATAAATAAATAAATATTTTTAAAAATGTTCCAGAATACTTGGGCATTGAATAGTGTGTACATAAATATCCTACTTTGAAGAAAATCTTCAGTGTTCATCTGAAGATGTGTGATTGTATGCATTCACTCGTAGGATGGAAATAAATGAAGTGTCTCCTTTTGTCAGGTTTGAACCTTACTATAATTGTATGGTGAGCTGCAGTGGAACAGTGTAAATTTCTGATTAAAGAGATAATCTACTTACAATTGTTTACTTGGTGTTTTAGAAATTGCTGCCTAATAGAGGAAGTGTCTGCTGGTGCTAAAGGGACTGTCTCACCACCAAATCTAACTGCTCCCTGAGTAACGTTTGCCCCAGATGCCTAATTGACTGGGACTTCTCATTAGCTACATATTATCTTTATGAATAAGCTTTGCTTATTCAAGACACTTCTTTAATTTGAGGAATGGAAAAGTGGTTAGAAAAAAATTGTGAGTTGTACACATCTATGGGATGTCAGCTTCGTTGGGAAAACCTAAGGAATTTGAAGTTTATTTTTAAAAAAACTTTGTGCTATATTTTGCAGTAAATTTTGGAAGACAAATATAAATCAGTTATATATTGCTAAGATTCTTACTTTGCTATCTAGCTGTTTGATTACCTTGCAAATTACAGAATTAAAATATTTTGAGAAAACTAAAACTTCTTTCTTTTGCTGCTTTTCAGTAGTTATGTGTATTAGGTAAGTTCTCTGTAGATGGCAGTATTGGTGAGGTGCATGTTTACTCCATTTGGCTGAGACTGAAAAATGTCATTTCATGATCAGTTATTTTTTTCAACAAAATAAATCTAAAACATAAAGCAACTAAGGTTACAGATATAATTACTAAGAATCTACCTAGCCAGAGAATACAGCAGAATTATAACTATTGCCTGACAGAAGTCTTCTTTCCTTCACTAGGGATAAAGTTGAGACTTGGTTGGTTTCAGGTCTTTACTCTCTTAACTCTCAGTCTTGGCCAGATCTGCCTGTCAGTGGTGACTCTAAGGCCAAAACATTTAACTCATTAGTTACACAGTTGTCATTAAGATGCTAAGGGAATGAAGACCTTGGTGTGAAATGTCACTGTATTTAGATCCAGGATATAGGCAGTCCCCACCACATTAAGTTAATTTGTGAGTAGTCATTCCTCTGTTAAAATTATCTGTTGTAAGCTATTAAGTCATGAATTAAAGAAGATTGGACATGTGACTACTTTTTAAAAAGATTTTATTTATTTATTTGTCAGAGAGAGAGCAAGCGAGAGAGGGAACACAAGGCGGGGGGTAGTAGGAGAGAAGAAGCAGGCTTCCCACTGAGCAGGGAGCCTGATGTGACAAGGGGCTCAATCCCAGGGTCCTGGGATCATGACCTGAGCCAAAAGCAGATGCTTAACAATGATTGCACCACCAAGGTGCCCCTGGACATGTGACTATTAGGGCAACAAACCCTGAGGATATGTTTGGAAATTTTAGGGAGCACAGTGAAAGCCAGCTGAAACCCCTATATAGTGCTGGCAGCAATGTTTTACAGGTAGCCCAAGGCCATGTGATAGCTCTTATTTTATTCTATTCTATTATACACACACACACACACACACACACACACACACACACACACACATATATCTGTGTGTATATATATATGTATCAGGATAGGAGGTGAGGGGTGGGATGAGGAAGATTATTTAAAGAGTATCAGGCAAGCTAATTTAATTTTTCTAAGATCACATTTGAAAATAATGCTTTCTTTATAGAGCTTGTCAAAAAGTTTACAAAAATTGTGATGCCCCAACAAATTCATGGCCAGTTCATATGGCCATGATCTTATTCAAAACTCCCTATCCTAGAGAGTAGTTGGTCCTTTGCCCAGTAATTTGAGAAGCTGGCATTTTAAAGTCTTTTCTAAGGGAAAGAAGAACCTGCATCTGGTCCAGATTCTGTCTAGTGGTTTGGCACAGGGATGGACAGAATTTGGCCTGGGCTGCCCTGTGGTGGGGATTGTGCATTGAAACCCAAACCCTGTTTTCAGTTATCCCACCTCTTGTTTCTCTCTGTAGTATGAGACTGAAAGAATGTAGGCAAAACTAGATGTATTCCCACATACAAAAGTTAAAGGAAACCAAAGGAAAGATAATTAGTACAAAAGAAGAAAAGTGTGTTGAATTATCTTGCAATAAATTTTTAGAGAAATTTCCATTCTTAACTATAGTTTCTTTAAGTTAGTGAATTTCAGTCACCATACCCCTGCCCACAACCTGTTCCACAATTTAAGAGTGTATTTATATGGCAAAAGAATTAAAGCAGAGTTTCATAGGATCCCTTGCTATAGGTATTATTGCTTAGGAACCAAATAGATTTAGATGGTGAGACATAGGTGTGTATAAAATAGAAACAGTGTGTGTATTTAGAATGTAAACAAGTTTTGTAAAACAATGTTTATTCTTATTACCAACAATGTACTCTAATATTTCCTAGCCTATGCTGTTTGATTTTATTCTATTTCATTAAAGTATTGGCTGAATCCACATGATTTCATATTTCACTAATGTGTTGTGACCCAGTATGAAAATGTTGTTTTAGGCCATAAATCTGTGTATGCCAGATTAAAATATGAGGCAATCCATTTTGAAAAATGCCCTGCAGACCAACTGCTAACAGTGAGTTTGCACAACTCTGCAGAGAAAAGTTCTCCTGTCTTTACCTCTAAGTCGTCATTGGGTTTCCCCTTCCAAAATTTTGGAAAAACTCTAGTGTCTCCCCAAGATCTGCTGGGTGCACTGTACTCTGAAATAGCTGAGGGGGCAGGAGGCTGGGCCAGCAGCACCTTCACTGTATAGGGGAGGAAGTCAGAGGCCTGAACACTTGTGTATTCCACTTGGTAACACTTAATTCTGGCCCTGGGTAATGGGCAGCAGATACTTCCTGTAAGGAAACAGGAAAAGTGAGCATTTTCTAACAGCAGAGCTCCAACCAGTGCTCCTGGGTGGTGAGAAATCCTATCCTCCTTTTCTTCTTCCCTGTCTTTGTTCTAGCCTCTTCCTGAGCCATTTTCAGTCAGTACTTCTCCCCCAGTACTTTCCCCCACACTGTCCTTTAGGACACCCCAGGCTATCCATAATATACTGCTGGTTATGGATCTCTTGCCACCCACACTGCACTTAAAATCTTAAGCTCTTTTGGGGATCTAACTAGGTATTAAAAATATAACTGTTTGGGCCCTCTGTTGTTCTCTCAGGCAGTTGGCTCAGGAGCATGGTGGGATTGCAAGTGGGAGAATAGACACCAGGGTGCCCATGCATGAACACTGACTGCAAGCTCCCAGAACGCAGTCTCTGGATTTGACTGGTTCACTATCGTGTGCTCAGTGCCTAGCACAGAGCTCAGTACTGGGCAGCTGCTCAAAAAATGATTTTAAAGAGGGTGAGTGAATGATAATGAAATAGGCCCGGCACAGTTGGCATGACCCCAGGAAAAGAGAAATCTGGTGACTTGTTTATCTTCTCCCGAAAATTTGTGTGACCGTAATCT